GCAGTTGTCCTGTCTCTAGGTTGGTGGTGTTTAGTTGCTCAGTCGTGTCTGATTCTTTGCAACTCCATGGGCTGCAGCCCGCCAGCCTCCTCTGTCCATGGGATTCTCCAGGCAAAAACACTGGAATGGGTTGCCATTCCCTTCTCCAAGGGATCTTCCCGACCCAGAGACTGAACCCATGTCTCTGGCATTGCAGGCGGATTCTTGACCACTGAGCCACCAGGGAACCACCCCCCCCCCCCGCCCCGTCTCTCGGTCCCTCCCCGTCACATGGGGAGTATGATGGATCAGATTGCCTCTTCCTCACCCACCTCTTCCTCAAAGGCAGAGATCCTCACCACTGTCTCCCCACCCTGGTACCAGCTCCCAGATATCAGTAAAGCAGTGTCTCCTGACTGGCCTGTTGGGCGGGAGCGCAACCACAGCTGAGTGGGAAGAGTGGACACACCCAGAACTAGGTCCCCAGGGCCACTTTCAGGGATGAGTAAGGGATGGGACCTAAGGGGTGGCACCCCTTCAACTGCAAAGAGGTCCAACCGGTCCATCCTAAGGGAGATCAGCCCTGAGTGTGCACTGGAAAGACTGATGCTGAAGCTGAGGCTCCAACACCTGGGCCTCGAAGAACTGACTCACTGGAAAAGACCCTGATGCTGGGAAAGACGGAAGGCGGGAGGAGAAGGGGATGACAGAGGATGCGATGGTTGGATGGCATCACCGACTCGATGGACAGGAATCTGAGTAAACTCCAGGAGCTGGTGATGGACAGGGAGGCCTGGCGTGCTGCGGTCCGTGGGGTCACAAAGAGTCGGACACAACTGAGTGACTGACTACAACAAGGGGTGGGATGTGGTTGGCCCTGGGAACATGCCAACCACAGGCAGTGATGTGGTCACGCCTCGTCACGCAGGTGGTAGGAGCTTGGGCGGAGGGCCACGAGGGAGTGGAAGCAGCAGGGGCCCCAGGGAGGCAGACCCCTGAGACACACAGAACCCCGGGGAGCGCCGCCCAGAGCACAGTGCCCGCACCCTACACGGGGGGCACACGACCCGGTGAGCAAGCGGAGGCAGAGCGGAGGACAGAGAGACGAGCCGATCCAGGGGAACGGGCTCTCAGGGGGCAGTGGGGTCTGGCCAGATGGCGGAGGCTCCGCACTCCACGGTCTGCACCCGGCTCCATCTTCAGGGCCCCAGGTGGCAGACCCGAGGGGCTGGTGGCTGACAGGAGGACGATATGAGGGCGGCAGGAAGGGAGGGTGTTCTCCAGCATTTAAATATATCCCGGATCCCAGCGAGTGCTGCTGCTTCCTCAGGTAAATTTGCATAGGTGGGAGGAAGCGTCTTGAGACGGCTCTGGCCGCAAGTCCCAAGGCGGACACCGAGGGCCTCGTGGAGACGCGGTCAACGTGACCCAGGGCAGAGCAGGGCACATCAGAGGGAGGAGGCGGAGGCCTCGGCCTCTCGACTCCAGGAAGAGGGAGGAGGCGGAGGCGGAGGCCTCTCGACTCCAGGAATGGCCGAGGCTCCAAGCCCACGGGGAGGTTCCAGAAAGGATGCCCTGTCACTCTCCTTCGGAGGAAGGCCAGCCCCCGAGAGGAGGCAGGACAGCCCTCCCCCCGGCCTGGGGGGAGGACCCGGATCTGGAACTTTCTCAAGGGGGAGTCACCCGGGTGTCTGCCCAGGCCCCCGGCGAGCAGAGGAACGGAGCTCTATGAAGCGGCCCCCTGGGGGCCCCAACTGTCGCGACAGCGAAGCGACAGGAAGAGAACCTGGTCACTCCACAGTGTTGGGGTGGGGGGCTCCCCAGAGACGGAGCGTGGGCTGGGCAAGAGGAAGCCCCCTGCTTGGAGGAGAGACGCAGGGCATCCAGGCCTTTATCTCACAAGGGTCTGCTTCAGACTGCCCAGTCAGCCCCAGGCAGACAGACGTGACGTGTCTCGCCGGGCCCTGAACACCCAGGAGGCCTGCAGCCCTCCTCATCTGGCTGAACCAAGGGAGGGCTTCCTCGGAGCCAAGCCATCCAACCGGGCGCTGCGTGCATCAGACCCTCGGGGCCCGACGCTGCTGACCTGTCAGCCACCCTTGGGGGCCAGGACGGCTGAGGAATATTCAGAAGGTGATTCAAAGCTGCCCTTTAGGCATACTGAGTGGTAACCTGAACCCAGAGGTGTGAAGCACCATCCCAGGGCCGAGAGCCACGAAGGAGCAGCTCACGTCCCACCCGGCCGGTTCCACGACCCTGAGAACACCGTCGGGAGGCCTGCTGCAGAATCAGTACTTTAAAATTCCACAGTTCCCAGTCTCAATCAGGCAGCCAGTCTCCAGGGGCATAAGAAGATTTGGGGTTTCAGAATAGATCACATTTTAACCTACTGCCAGCAAACAATCAGTAAGAAGAATGATCCTGTTGGCTTCCCAAGCAGCTCAGTGGTTAACAATCCTCCTGTCAACGCAGGAGACGCGGGTTTGACCCCTGGGTGTGGAGGATCTCCTGGAGGAGGAAATGGCAACCCACTCCAGTGTTCTTGCCTGGAGAAACCCATGGGCAGAGGAGCCCGGAGGACTATCGTCCACGGGGACACGACTGACCACGATCACAATGAAAGATCCTATCATTCCTTTCCATAAGGAGTGAGCTTCATCCTAACAAAAACAAGAATTTATCAGGAAGACAGTCCTCGGACAGAAGTCTTGTGCTCAGTGGAACCAGAGGAATGTGAACAAAATGCAGCTGGACCAGCTTTTGAAGAGGGTTCACAAGGACAGCACCTGCCTCGCGGGTGGATTGGTTAGATAAAACGAGATCACATCTAAGAAACCCGTCCAGAGTCCAGAGCACACCCGAGACCCACTACACGGGAGACCATTCCGCTGCATCCTAAGGACGGTCGGTATCCGCTGTCACCATAAACCTCTGCCACCAGACAAACACAAACCTGCCTCAGCGCGACCAAGGCTGGGCTTTCAGCCTCAGGCTCATGATGATTAAGACCCTCTATCAGGCACCATCTACAAGGCAGGGGCCTCTGAGGTCCCGAGGGCCTCCGTGGGAAACATTTTTTAAAAGGAGCAGACACCGGGGACATTTGGGGGTGTTTTCCCCGAGGACTGGCCCACAGAAGACTCTGAGCTACCCGGGGGTAAGAGTCTGGAGGGCGCTCCCTGGAGGGGCGGGCTGAGCCCCGCGGGCCCTTCTGCTCCCGCAGGCAAAGGCCTGTCGCCCACCCGCAGGAGGGCAGTGTGGTCGGTCTGACAGAGTGGCTGGGCCCAGGCGTGGAGATGCAGCCCCACCAGCGGGCACAGACTCTGCCCCGAGGCCCCCCCGGCCCACCCCCACTCGGCCTGGCCTGATCCCTCCAGGACCCCAGGATGCAGCAGCGTCTGTCACCACAGGGGCCTCCAGGACCTCCCGAGGGGTCAGGACTGGTGGGGATGGGTTTTAAAGGTCCTCCGACCCAGGGTGGGGGGCCTACCGGCTCCCCCAAGGGAGCTGATGAACCTGCATCATCTGAGGGGGTGGAAACGGGCAGGCAGGCGGGGGTGGGGGGGCCTCTCTGACAAAGCCCGGAACCCCTGTGTGGCCCCCACCCACCCCATTCTCATTCCCAGCAGGAGATAAACACTGACCCCAAGAGATTTAAACACAGCTGGTGGAGCCGGGGGGCGGGGGGAGCGGGGTGGGGGGTGCCATCTCTAACTGGAGCAAAAGCGAGGAAGCGGGCCCTGGGCCCCTGGGGTGGAGACGGTGAGACCAGCGCAGCTCAAGGACGGGCAGCCCCGCCCCGTCGGAAGCCTGCAGGCTGTGTCCCACTGACCTCCACTGAGGACAGCCTCCCCACCCTCGAAGGACGCCCCCAAAGTCTGAGGCTCCCCATCGCCAAGTGCACACTGAGCAAATGAACGCGCCCCCACCCCAGGGCGGTTAGAAATCAAAGCCGCTGGGGCCGCTGCGCACCAGACCCCACCCGCACCCCCCTCCAGCTCTCTCCTCCAGGGACCTTTAAGAAAGACAAGGCCAGACCCCAGGACTATTAACCGCCCACGAACAGCCAGTTTATCCGGCTGCCCTGAAGCTGTGATTCTAAACCAGGTCTTCACAGGTCACATCTCTGCTTTTTTGTTGTTGCTTTTCTTGTCTTGAATGTGCAGCTACCGGGATTGCACACACCTTGCTAAAACCGTAGGAGAAATTTCATACTCATGCTCAGGGTGGGTGACGACTGACACGGAAGGGAGACATAATCCCACAACCCACCCCACACCTCACCCCACGCGGGCCTCCGGGGACCAGAGGCCTGCTGGAACAGGTAACACGTCCGCGGAGCAGGAGGCGTTCGCTGGGCCAGGCCAGCTGGCTACCCCAAGTCGTTCCCTTCCCTGAACAACACAAACAAGCAGGGCTTTCCCCGTTTTACACGCGGAGGGAAGTAGCAGGAGGCCAGCTGTCTCACTGTGTGTCCTCCCAACGCCCGTTTCCAACAGCAAGACATAATCCTTGATGGGAAATGTACCAAGTAACTGAGCTGGCAAGAAATCAGAAGGAGACAGGCAGACCCCCTTCCTTCTCTGATACACGAACGACACCCTCTGAGGCTCACAGTCAAACCGGACAGACAACAAAAGTTACTATACATACACATCATTTTGATTTTATCTGATCAGGTGGTTTTCGGTCACTGTTGGGTTGGATTTTTAAAGGCATGCCTGCACAACAGGAAATCAACTCCAGCACAAAAAATAAAGTCCTGTGAAAACTGCCATACGGTAGAACTCACATCCTACTTGTCATATTGGAAATAGAACTCCTGCTTCTTAATTTTAAAAAAGATGAAGCATAAGCCCTCAGCTCTGTTAGCCTGCTGGGCTCGATGTTAAAGCGGCACGTGAAGTAGGTCACGGAGAAAGTGGCCTCGCAGGAGCTGCATAGGAAGGCGGAGGGGGCATGACCCCCCGACGCCCCTGGGGACCAACCTCAGCATCACTGGGGGGCGGGGGCAGACTGACCTGGGCGCGCCCGAGGGTTTCCAGTACCGGCAGAAGAGGTACTGTCCGTCAGCGTTGACCAGGTGAGGGAGGTCCTGGTAGGGAACGTTCTGTGGGGTCAGCCGGGGGGAACGTTCCTCTGGCATTGTGAAAGGATCTTCAGGTGCTAGGAAGGAAAAAGGGAATGGTGCACGGTCAGAGAGAAGGCAAAACAGAGACGTCAGGAGGGAAACCTTGATCAGTCACTCACATTTTTTTAAAGCAGTTAAAAAAAAAAAAAAGAAAAACCCTTCCATTTCAAAAATTTTACAGATACATAAATTTCTTAAGACTGAAAACCCCATTTGTTCTTAAGAAAAATGCTCACTTTATCTTTTAAGTGCCTCCTTACAGCTTTCTCCCCCCCTCTTCCCATCTGTGTTTATTTTAAATCATTTCAGGAAACTTCATCTTAAAGACCATTTTAGCTGTAATCAAGTGGAAATGATAGTCAGCTCTGTGGGCATAAAGACCCAGCTGCAAAACACCCTTCCATGCTAAAACCCCCAAGGAAGTTTCACAGGGGCGCGGTCACGGGGTGGATGACGCTCTGGTTAATTCCTCCTGCCCAAAATTCTAAAGGTGCCGCCACAAACCTGTCTGCATCACGACCGGGCTTCTGCGATCCACCAGCCCACAACCCCGAGCGTCAGGGCCAGGCCAGCCGGGGCAGCCCCTTCATCTTGGCGGGGGACGCCCCCCACGTGCCCCCCACCCCTAGCTTCCCAGCTAGCGCCGGGCCCCAGATCCTGCCTGGCTTTAGGAGCGCGGAGCCCAGGGCTGCCCCCCCCCCCCCCTCGTCTGCGAGCGGAGCCACCCAGCGCTAGCCCCTCATCACTCTTCGTAAAGAAACGCCTGCGGCAGGGAGAAGTGTCCCCGGGAGGCCGGCTCCCGCTGCCCCGGCCGCCAGGGCACCAGCTCCGCGCGCCCAGGTCCCCACCCACGGACACGCACGACCGCGGGTCCCCCAGGAAAGTCAGCCAGGCTCTCCCAAAAAACTTTGCCGCCTGCCCGCGTCCGCCGGCGCCAGGAGCGCAACCCCGCCGGCAGGGCCGCCCGCGGGGGACGGACACGCGGACACGGAGTTGACGGCGGCGACAAGTTGGTTCGGGGCCGCCGCCAGGGAGCGGGGCGCAGGCGCCGGGCACACGCAGACACGCGCGCGCTCGTGCACACGCGCACAGGGGCGCGGGAGCCCACGCCGAGCGCGGGGACGCGGGGACCGCGGGACGCGGGGCGGCCGCACCCGGGGGACAGGCACGGCTCGGGCGGGGACGCAGGCAGTTACCGGGCCAAGAGCGCCGAGTCCTCGTCTAGGGCCGGGACCGGAGAGCTGCGCGCCGCCGCTCCGGAGACAGGGCGCGGCGTCCGCGCCGCCACTTATCCCGGCTCCCTCCCGGCGGGGGCGGCCGGGGGTGGGCCGCGGGGGGCGGCGCCGGGCCCACGTGTGCCGCCGGCCTGCCCGCCCGCGCTCCTCCCCGCCGGCCGCGCCCCAGGGTGGCGCCCGGGGACTAGCGCCCCGAACCAGCCGTGCTGCGGGAGGACACGCCACACCCACGCGCGCACACACCACGCGCGCACACCCGCCGCGCACACACGCTTGCAGGAGCGACACAGGCACCCGGGCGTCCCCCCCAGAATCACACACGTGGACACCACTCACACCCTCAGTACACGCAGATGTGCACACCCAGATAACACGCAGAGAAAGGAGCACAGAGGCACTCGGACACAGACACAAATAAGCTGGGGCGGTGGGGGACGTGTGCACAATTTCCAGAAGGTGGGGCCAGGCCACCAAGGACAGGCCTGGCCCCAGAGACCCTCCCTGGGGGACACATAAAGCCTCAGGGTCAGGTGCAGGCCAGGGAAGGTCTGAACACCCTTGGGTGCAGGTGTTCACGTGGCTGGCGGGGGTCGGGTGGGGGCGGCTGGACCAGAGCCTAGACCCCCCCAGGGCCCAGCACCAGCTGCGGCGCTCACCCTGGGCCTTGTCTCCTCACTGGCAGCCCAGGACAGGGCCTCTGCCCCCAGGACGGACAGGTGTCCCCTGCTCACTGTGACCTCCCTGGCGTCCTTCCCTCGGTCACAAACAAGTTGACACCACAGCAGTGTTGAAAAGAGCCAGTGTCTCCAGAGTCACACGGCCCGTGTGTGGGCTGGCCCCGGCCGCTCAAGGCCTACGAGCTAACTTACAGCAAACAACAGCTGGAGTGTGAGCCCGGCCTCGTGGCAGGTCAGAGGCCTCTGGCCTCTGAACAGCAGGGCTGGCCAAGCGACAGGCCCCAGGCAAGGCCAGTCCCGGAGGTGGCTGAGTCCACGCAGGGAGCCGGGGCCGGCGCACGGCTGGTACCTGGACTGGAATTCACTCCGGAGCCAGTTTAGGGTCCGAGGGACCTTGTGGGGGACCCCAAGGCACAACAAGCCCCCTTTAATATGAAGTCAAGTGAAAGTCGCGCAGTCGTGTCCGACTCTGACCCCATGGGCTGTAGCCCACCAGACTCCTCTGCCATGGGATTCTCCAGGCCAGAACACGGGAGTGGGCAGCCTTTCCCTTCTCCAGGGGATCTTCCCGACCCGGGGCTTGAACTGGGGTCTCCTGCATTACAGGCGGATTCTTTACCAGCTGAGCTACCAGGCAAGCCCCTTTCATATAGCTGTTTCAAAGTTTGCCAGCTCCAGCATTTCGGGATTTTACATACAGTGTGGAAGTCTGGGGGACAGTGCTCACAGAACTCCAGCGGAAAAAGGGGTTCAGAGCTTGGAGGGGCTTCAAGGGTGGCCCAGTGGAAAAGAGGCCACCTTCCTGGGCTAGGGAGGTCCCACAGCTACGCCGCTAGGCCATGCCCCACAGTTTCTGAGGCTGTGTCGCAACTACTGAAGCCCTTGGGCCCGTGAGCCCTGCAGCAAGAAAAGCCGCTGCAATGAGAAGCCGGCTCACCACAACCGGAGAAAGCCCATGCAGCAATAAAGGCCTGGAACGGCCGAAAATTAAAAAAATAAAAACGCTCTGTTCTACACTAGTTTCTCCTAGTTTGCTTACCAACATAAATGGGGGTGTGGGGGTGGGGCTCTGGGGGAATGGGTGAGATCGTGCTGTTCTGTATCAGCTTTTTTAATCAAACTTTTTATCCTGAGAAGGTTGTAGACTCATTCAATTATATAAACGTAGATTCGATTCAGAAATAATAGAGAGAGACGGTGTGTACCCTTTGTTCCAGTGATAAAGTGTTGCAAAACTCTAGGCCAACAGCCAAGTTGGATGTGGATGTTGACAAACCACATAACCTTCCAACCCCACGAAGATTCCTTATGGTTACACCCTCTTCTCTCCTGTCCAGATTCCCTCCATAACCCCTGGCAGCCAGTTTAAGATGTTCTCCAACTGTAAAATTTTGTGATTTCAAGAAGTTCTATCAACTGAATTGCACAGTGTGTGACCTCTTAGGATTCACTCTTCTTTCAGCATTTCCAGGTTGTCGTGTAATATCCGACGGTACGAACATACCACATTGTTTAGCAGGTGAACAACATCTGGGTTGTTTCAGGGTCTGGCTACTATGAATGAAACTTCTGTAAATATTCATGCATGAATGTAAATCTTTATTTCTCTGGGATAAGTGCCCAGGAGTTATACTCCTGGGCCCTATGGAAGTTGCATGTTGGGTGTTGAAAGCGATTGCTCCGAAACGTGTTTCAGAGCAGAAATGGTTGCTCCATTTCTTATTCCCACCAGAAACTTGCTAAGAGATTCGGTCTCCCAGTACCCTCCATCAGCACACAGTGTCTCTCTGTTTTTTGTTTCTGTTTTGCCATTGTTAGATGTGTAGTAGTATCTCACTATGGTTTCAATTTGCATTTGTCTGATGGCTCATGGTGGGGTTCCTAGTTGGCTCACTGGTAAGGAATCCGCTTGCCAAAGCAGGAGACAGGGGTTCAACCCCTGGGTCGGGAAGATCCCCTGGAGGAAGGCATAGCAACCCACTCCAGTATTCTTGCCTGGAGAGTCCCGTGGACAGAGGAGCCTGGCAGGCTAGAGTCCACAAGGTTGCAAGGAGTTGGACGTGAATTAGTGGCCAAACGACAAGAAATGTCTCGCATTGCTGACTATCTCTTATATAGTTATTTGCCATCTATATATCCAGTTTATGCAAATGCTTCTTCATGGCTTTTGACCGTTTTCTAATTGGACTTTTTTTTTGTTTTTACTTTTGAGTCCTGAGAGTTCTTTATATATTGTAGATACTAATCCTTTGTTGGATATGTGATTTGCAAATATTTTCACTTAGGGCTTGTCTTTTCATCCCGTCAGCACGGTCTTTTACAAAGTAAAAGTTTTTCATTTTTATAAGATGCAATTTATGTTTTGTTTCATGGTCCTTTGCCTCATAGCACACCTGAAGATTTCCTCCTGTTTTTCCCTTTATATTTCACATTTCCGTCTCTCACCGAGTCTGGGCTAACTGTTGTATCGGGTGTGAGATTAAGATCAGAGTGTTTTTTGCTTTTTTTCTGTTGTCAAACTGCTGCAGCACAGTTAGCAGAATAGGCTGCCTCTCCCAGAAGCCTTGAATTGTCTTGTGTCCCTGTAGAGATTCAGTTTGCCAAACCTGTTAGATCTATTTCTGAATTCTCTATTCCGGCCCATGGGTCTGTGTCTGTTTCTTTATCAGCACCCCTAGTCTTCAATATTGTGTCTATCTCATAAGTCTTAAAGTCGATTCCTCCCACCTTATGCTTATTTATAATTTTTTAAGCTAAAGATAAGTTCCTTTACCTTTCGATGTAAATTTTTGAACAATCTTGTCTATATCTGTAAAAAATCTTGGCAGGATTTTGATGGGAGCTATAAACATGTATATCATGTATACATGTATATCAGTTTCCTGATGACTGACATTTCGGGATGCTGGCTCTGAATCCATGAACACGGTATGCCACTCCCTGTCTGTCTTTCACTTCTCTCAGTGTTGTGTGGTTCTCAGGATGTGAGTTTTGTACATGTTTTGTCAAATTTACACCCTTCTTTTTTCAAATAATTGTAAACATATTAAAATTAGAATTAAGTGTATTTTAAATTTTGGTTTCTGCGTGTTCACTTCCAGTG